ATGAGTTTATCATATCTGAGAAGAGATTATTTGAAAAATAATTTCAAAAAAGAGATTACAACAATATGAAACGTACAATTCAAACATGCAAAATATAATTTTTTTTGCATTTATTGTAACATTCTATGTTTTGTAAACGTTTATGTATATGTGTGTATTATTTTATCACAAACATATTTATTATTTTGGAAAACTAAGTTAAAATATTTTTATCTACTTTCTTTTCTTATTATTAATCAACAAAATATATTAAAATCCAAAATGTTAGGAAAATTAGAAAATTAGTATTTATTTCTTCATACGTAAATAATAAATTATACAATACGCACAGTAAATTTGAATAATATAAGTTAAAAATTCTTGTTAAAATGTTGATAAAATTGACAAAAAAAAAAGTTTAAGGCATTAAATATGTAACATCAATTTTTGTAGGTCTATCATAAGCATTTATACTGTAATAATAAAATGTATTTTTCTACAAGTAATAATTCTCGTTGTGAATAAAGTATTATATATTATGTCTTTTTTTTCATTCACACTGAATTAATTATTAATATTGTGTTAATTACAAATTGTAGCTAAATATTAATTATGTTTATATACTAAAATTATTTGTATATCAGATACTCTTGATAATACGTAATGAACACGTATAATGAAAGTAAATAATTATCAAGATTAAGAAGAGATACATATATATTTCAAACATATGTGATAAGAATTCAATTGAATTTAGATTTTCAAATACATACATAATATTTATAAAAATAATTATCAAAAATTATTCAATACTGCATAGCATAAAAAGATTATTATATTATTATAGACAAATTACTATGAAGACATTTTTTCAATTTACAATCATTGTATTTTTAGTTAATAGTACTTTATCCCTAACCTTAGATGGTTTATGGATAGGTATTAAATATAATAGATCAATATTAATTAATTATAATAGATCAATAAATTTTTTTTTCATATAGTATCAATTAATGATATTACATATTAAGTATATCAATTAATATATAATATATGAATTTCTGATTTAGGTAAAATTACAACCAATAAACATGAACAAGGTAAGAATTTTTATAAATGATTCTCTTCAATATTATTATAATATTAATTAATTTATTTATTTTTTGTTAGAAATCACGTTTTCTGCAACTGTGCCAGGAGGTATTTATACGGATTTGGACAAGGCGCATATTATACCAAATAATTTAAATGAGAATAATGATGTAATTAATCGATGGGTTGGTAATCAATCAGTTATTTACAGCAAAAGATTTTATGGTAATTATTTTAGACTTTTTAATGTAAGAATTTAATATATGAGATTCTTAATTCCAAACAAATTTTAAATATCTGTTTTATAGTAAATGATACACTATTAAATGCACCTAAAGTGGTATTAATTTTCCATGGTGTAGATACGTTTACTACAATTGTTTTAAATGGACATGAAATTGGAGAAACATCAAATATGTTTCTAAAATACACATTTGATGTAACACAGTATTTAGAAGTAAGTATTTTACTTTTTCATACAATTATTTATTATACGTTTTTATTCACTTTTCAGAAAGGAGAAAATTTATTGGAAATTTTTTTTTCTTCACCTGTTAAAATAGCTGAGATCTTACACAATAAACAAGCATTAAAATATGTTATTCCTCCAATATGTAATCCAAATAGTTACAACGGAGAATGTCATGTAAATTATATAAGAAAAATGCAAGCAAGTTTTTCTTGGGATTGGGGTCCAGCTTTCCCATCAATGGGTATCTGGTGAGTTCAGTTTTGTTATTTATTTGCATTATTGTATATTAATAAGACAAATATTTTAGGAAAACTGTAGAAATAATTCCCATAAATGAAATCTACATTATGGATGTTACAACAGATATTCATAAGAAGGAAAACTTTTGGAATATTATAATCACATTATTTCTTGAAGTGACCTTACAGAGGAACATAACTTGTCATATCTCATCTGTTCTTAATATTAATGATCAATTAAATATTCATAATTCTAGCAATGTTAATTTACATACAAATAACAAAGATACAAAATGTACTATACTTCTAAAAATACCTACAGTACGTTTTAATGATGAAATGTCATTATTTATTAACATTTAATCAGTGTATACATTTGATATGATATAATTTATTTTTATACAGAATCTTGTAAATGAATGGTGGCCTAATGGTTATGGCAATCAAACTCTTTATTCATTAACTGTAACTGCAGCTACTTCTACTGATGTTAAGCAGAAAATTATACATGTTGGTTTCAGAACGGTGGAACTCATACAAAAGCCTCTCAAAACAGGATTAAGTTTTTATTTTCAAATAAATAACGTTCCAATATTTGCAAAGGGTAGTAATTTTATTCCAGCTAGTGTTTTTCCTGAGTTGACTGCTAAGATAGATACAATTAAACACTTATTAAAATCTGCCAAAGAAGCAAACATGAATATGCTTAGAGTATGGGGAGGTGGACTTTATGAATCTGAACTATTTTATAATATAGCTGATGAATATGGAATCATGATTTGGCAAGATTTCATGTTTGCATGCGGAATGTATCCTACTACAGAAGAATTTCTTGAATCAGTCAAAAAAGAAGTAATACAAAATGTACAGCGATTAAAAAATCATCCCAGTATTGTTCTCTGGGCTGGAAATAATGAAAATGAAGCAGCATTATATGGAAATTGGTATGGAACTGGAACTAAACAAATATATAAAACTGATTACATCAAGCTTTATGTAGATTTAATTAAGAAGGAAGTAGAACAACTTGACTCTACACGACCTTTTGTAGTATCTAGTCCTAGTAATGGCCTATATACAGAGAAATATAATTATATTGGAAAAGATCCATATTTGAAGACATTTGGAGATGGTAAAATATATTTTTTATTTTATACTATAGAAACAGCTTGTATTTGAAATCAGATAATATAATGATATTTCAGTCCATTACTACAATTATTTTAATAATGGGTGGGATATGCATCAATATCCACGTGTAAGATTTTCATCTGAATATGGATTTCAATCACTACCGTCAATTTATACTATGTTGCCAATTGTAAAAACAATTACTGATTTAGACATACACAGTGATTTCTTCAAACATCGTCAACATCTACCATTAGGAACGGAATATTTGATAAATCTTATATCAAAAAATTTTAAATTGCCTGATACTCAAAATACTCTAAAAAGATTCGAAAATTATATATATTTAAGCCAAATTAACCAGGCTGTTTCAGTAAAGATACAAACGGAATTTTATCGACAATCAAAGTCGGATTTAAATGAAATAGGAGAAGGAATGACAATGGGTGCTTTATATTGGCAATTAAATGATGTCTGGCAAGCTCCGTCTTGGTCTTCTATAGGTAAATAATAATTATTGAAAATATGTATATTTAAATCTATTTTGATGTTACTAATAATTTTACTTAGATTTTGATGGGCGATGGAAAATGCTTCATTATTATGCTGTGGAATTCTTTGCACCCATTATAGTTACATACTATATTCGTAATATGCATCTTTCAATCCATATTGTTTCGGATAAGACACATTCAGTGAAAAATGCTACTTTAGAAGTGAATCTTTATGCGATGAATAATATAAAACCTGTGCAATCATATATTTATCACAATATAACTATTGTAAGAATATAAAAGTAATGATAGTTTCGATATACAAATATAAATAAAATAAAAATACTTGCAATCAACATTTTTACTAATAGGAAGCAAATGCAGTAACTATTATTGATGATAACTGGCTCAAACATTCATGGATTTTAACTTCTACAATACTTAATGAATGTCAGTCTAATAGTACTAAAAGCAATTGTATTACAACGCTTACCTTAAAAGATAAAACTGGGATACCACTGGCACCAAGAAATTATATATATCCAAGCAATGTTTTGAAAAATACCGCATTGCCAATTGCAAATGTTTCTGTAAGTTTATCCTTGTATCTCTAAAAGAATTATGCATTTTTATTTAACATGAATTTAAAATTTATTTTATTTTAGATAAAAGTGAATGATGATCACTTACCTAGAAAATCTTTCAATTATCCAGATATTGAACTTGAATTAACAACAGACAACATAACACTTTTTATATGGCTAGAAGCTGGTAATATTTGTGGTCGTTTTTCAGAAAATGGTTTCCATATGTTCGAAAATAAGAAAAGCATTATTTTCCTTGCATGTGAATTTATTACACCACAAGTATTAAGAAAATCTTTAAAAGTTACTACACTTTCTGGTATTTACTAAATTCTTCTTTCTGTCTAAACAAAATTGTTATAATATTAAATTTCAAGTTCTTTGTGGAAAATATGTCTCACGGTGTAAATAAATTTCGAATCCAATAAGAATAACGAGTATAATTAGAATTATAGTGATTATTAAATATATCAAATTTGACATTTCGTTTTGTTAACTTATAAATTTATTTCTGAATTTCAACAGTTTTCTAACTTTATTGATTATTATTGAAAATATACAATGACTTTTTATAACAAAATATAATACAAATACTGAAGTTAGTATATTATCACAACGGAACAAATCAATATATACAATATATTATTTAAGAAAATATATAATTAAATATTATTGTGTATTATTGTTATTTTTCTATTAATAAATAATATCAAAAGTTAATAATCTCAAACTTAAAATATAATGAAAAAATACTAAATTTAGCTTTTTCTTCTGTGAAATTCGAATATCTAATTTTAAATCTAAATTAATTCTAATATCAATAAGCATAAATCCAGATTCATTTCTAAAATTTTTAAGTTATATTATAATTAAGATACTATCTTGTAAAACCTTGATCAAAAAATAATAAAATATACAAGCAATTATTATATAAATATATATGTAATAACGTTATAAATTAATTCTTTTAAAGACTAGATAAAGCTATCATGTTAATAATAATATTGTGTTTATAAATTCTTCATAAAAATAAAATTTATTTTTTTATATTGTATGTAAACTTTAAAGATTTATAAATATGATTTAAATTTGATCGTTTTTAAAGCTTCATTTAAAGCATTTATGAACTGTTAAAATTTAGCATTTTCCATAGTTCTAAAAATTGATCTACAAAGATAGCCAAATCTTTTGTAATTAATTAACAATGAATATTGTCAAAAAATTTAATTTCTGATAGTGAAATCAGGCATAGTTTCTTCCGATGGTGACTGGAGGTAACGACGACTTAGATTAATTGCTACCATTATACAACATAATAATAAAGGACCAAAAATTGCACCTTCTACACCCAAACAAAAGATTCCGCCTGCTATGGAAAGACCTGTAAGATATGGATGTCCACCCCTAAAATAAAAATACAACGAATAAGTATTAATTAATTATAACTAATAATTAATTAAATTTTATTGAAATTAAGTTTTATTAAAATTTAAAAAATTGTAATACCCTTTTATTTCTTTGTAGAATTCAGTTACAACAATATTACAAGCAAGGAAGTGAAACATAAAAAACAAAATAGCAATCATAGATCCTCGAGTAAACCAGAGCTCCAAAGTAGCTGGGATGCAAGCAAAATATGCATCCAAAAATGGCACTGCACCAAGTATTGTTGCAAAAGCAGATGGTAAATAAATTATTTTTACTTGGAACAAATTATGTATAAACCATGTCCACATGCCAAAAAAGGAAGCAAGTTTAAATGTTGCAGCAAATACTCCAATTACTGCTTCTTGTAATGCTATAGCAAACCTACAAAATATAAGATATTAGACTTTTCTTTCAAAATATATACGATAATATATTATTATGATTCAGTTTACACATACATACCCTTCAACATGAAGAGTGCTTATAAATCAAAAAATTAATTTTACAAAACAATTTACATCATGTTAATACAAAATATATTAATTTAAACATTTACCTGTGACAACTAATAGGACTAAATACTGTAGTTAACTCAATAGGTTTGTATGTTTTTTCACTAGAACTAAGAAGGTAAAAGAGCGTCGTAAAAAATACCACCTTAAAATTAAATCTTTAGTATAATATATATTTTAAATATTTTCAAAATATATATACGTTTTTTACGATTAATTTATTACCATGCTGAGAGCGAAGTTAAGTACTGCTGATCCACTCATAAGTATAATATAAAATAATTCTGTAAAAATTGTTAATATCACAGACATATTTCCTTTCACTATACTCCAAATGGAATCCAATACTGACATAAAAGTTCCAATATTTTCTTTTACAAAATTTTGTATACTAGTCATGTTAAACAGTTCTGTGTAAAAAAAAAGAAGAAAATAGTAAACACATTGAATAAACTTATTTAATATTTAATTGTATTAATTTTAAATGTAAAATCTTACGTAAAGGTGTTTTTTCAAGACTTTCATTGAGATTTTCCCACACTGAATAAGCTGCTGTAACATCTACAGTAGGCCCAATTAGATTAGGATTTTCGGTAGACATCATCCATGCTTGATAAAGTCTATCCCAAAGTTCTAAAACTTTCTTTTCCATTTGTTCAGCTTTTGCAGCATCTAAATCTTTTACCAAACTTTTTATCTACGCCATATATTATATGTTATTATTGAGATATATTTAGCAATTATAAAAGTATACATGTATCTTACTCCATCAGAAATAGCACTTCGTCCATACGTGTAAGCATTATCTAACACACTATTAACTGAATCCTCCCATTGTTCAGGTAACCAATCAATGTCTGGATTATTCAAAGATGAATTAAGTATCTCTCCAGTCATTTGAATAAGATGCATACCTTCTGCATAAACCTAAAGAAAGCATGATGTTTACAATCATTTATAAGACATATATAATAGTGTTTACTATAACTTCATTATACCTGTATTGTTATAAAAATAGAAGTACAAGTAGTGAATATAAGTAATCCAAAAATCACAGCAATTGTTACTACAGAATCAACTGAAGCTTTCAAGATTTTTGTTAATTTTTCATCAATTATGATTCCAATTTTGTATAAACCTCTAACATTAACTGGTAAAAGAGCTTGATGTCTTTCTGTACACCATATTTTTATAATTTGCACAATAATGTTGCATTGATTTCCAATCATCTTCCATATTCCAAAATAATTTCCAAGTTGCTTAATAATATAAAAAGCTATAGGGATAATTAAAATATATATCATCCACCTATGTTTCCAAAGGAGCATACCAATGCAAGCATATAATGCACCATACATATATTTATCAGTATCAACCTTATCATTTTCTATATCTATGGACATTCGTAATTCTGTTTTCAATCTTCTTAACAAATAACGATCACGTAATGATACATTAGATGGTTGTAATCTGTTTATTACACCTGTTTTTGCATCCAGTGACATTGTCTTCCTGGAGAATTTCATAATTTTCATATCTTGACCTCTATTTATCTCATCATTTATACTTTCTTCGTTAATATTTTCTATGGAGTCTTTTGAAGCTGAGGGAAATGATTCTTGTTGCGTATTTGTGACTAAGTTATTTGTCAATGCAAAGCACATTGCTTCTACAAACGTCGTATGTTTGTTTTCTAATTCTTGGTTTTCCATAATAGCTACTACTTCATAAATAAATCCTATGAAGTATAGTATTTGTAATGTCGTGAATATAATAATTTGATAAGCACCTAATATGTTAGAAATATATAAGCTAATCATGAACCATATAATAAATGAGCTATAACGAAACTGAATGGAATTATTTGGTGTCCAGTAAATATACAATACGGATAAATATCCAATAAGTATAAAAGTAATCTGTAAAAATTACATTATTATCATCATTGATGTGCTATGAAATACATTTCTTATTAAGCAGGTTTTTTCAAATGATTGAAATTTACCATGAAAGTATTGCACATTGTTATAAAAAATCCAAAAACAGCATTAAAAATTAGGCATATTCTCCATATAAGGCAGCTTAATATCGTAGGCGTGTAATGATATATAGTTAGAGCTGACGCAGTCAATAAAAATACACTGGCAATATATTTAATGTGTTCCCATAAAAATGACCCTATACTATCGGATACTTTGTCAACTATTTGCGCAGGGAGCACCATTAAATTTATTATTAAAGGAGTGTGAGACGCCTCCGTTTTCTCAAACCACGACTGCACAATCGTAGTTAAGGAATATTTGAAGGGGAATAAAACAGAACCACATAACAGGGCCCAAATCAAAGGTTTTACAAACGGTCTCAATATAATGTACAATCCGAAGCCTGCTGCGGAAACCAGACACAAAAAGAATAGTGCCACCGCATTGTAAATGCCTTGTTTTAAGGCCTTTTTATGATCCGCGCTGAAGCCTGACAGCATGTTAAAGAGGTTATTCATAGGCGATCGTGTACTATCCATTATGAATATGTATGTAATCAATTCATTGTTAGAGCGCTTTATTATTTAATTTTGAATTTTCTTACTATTGCTTTCTTAAGAAAACTATAAAACACATAGAAAATTACATTGGAAACAGAAAAATAATAATAAGGATAAAGTGTACTGTCAGAAGTAACAAATACCGTGTACTATTATGCAGTAGTCGTGTAATATCCCATATGTACATATGTATATATATGTATCATGGTATATCAATGAAACAGTGGTGGTATATCAATGAAACGACTGAAATCATATTAGATAACTTAAAACTTAATATATATCATTCTCCGTACGCTGATTTGTTCTCGTTCTCTTTAAAAATAAGAAATGATTTGCGGAAACTTGAATTAAACATGAATTATTCGTCGTATTGATAAAATTAAGTGATATGATAAAAAAAAAAATCATTAAAATAAATTAGAAACTCCAGAAATTTATTCTCCGCAGTTTAATCAATTACATCGTAAAATATAAAATATTAATATTATAATTCAATATATCATAATTTTTATACGCGCAAGGCAAAATCTTAAAATATATAATAATATTGTTTTTCCGATCGTATGAAATTTAAAATGAAAAACGTTTTATTTATTATTAATCAAGAAACTATACACCTTAAATATATAAATGAATACGTAAACGTAAATGTACGCTAAAGATATAGGTAAATTTAAGGAAATATTTTCGGAAGGTTAATAATGACAAAAATAATTATAAGACGCTTCAAGTATTTTTTCTTTTTTTACAGTCTTCACCATCTCCGAATTTGAATTATTCGAAAGCATGAATGTTCTATCGAATGTACTCCTATTTTGTTTTATCTATAAATATGAAGATTATCGAAACGCGTTACACGAGATAAAGGCATTTGTCACTTTTAATAAATAAAAGTAAATGTAAATGCTTTTTCTTGCGTGGTAATTTTACACGCCATTAGATTCTTTATACCGTTTTCCTTTTTTTTCTTTTTTTTTTTCCTTCGTTTCAGATATTTTGGTTACCATGTGTACGATTTTACTGAACTCAACAAATCACTGCCAGCACATATTTAGAAATTAAAGATACACGATTCAGTGAAAAATTCATTATACCGTATGTGCGTGTATAGTACGCTTGTTACATTCATGTTGCAAAACTAGCGAATAGATCTACTATCACTAATCACAGTATTTTGATCACAAATATGTATGTATGTATGTCGAATGTTAGAAATACAATTTGGGACATTATGCGATATTAATCAGATACTCGCTTGAATTTTCGCAAGATTACCGAACATATTTTTATTGTATCTTGTTTTATATCTCGCTAAAGAATAATATCAATATGCTGAGAGGACGAACGTTTCTTTAAATGGATAATGTTAACGTGCTTGAAAATAGAAATTACGCAAGGAAACTCTGACTTAATCATCACACTTTCATTTTATTCTTTTTATTATTATTATTATTATTGTTATTATTATTATTTATTATTATTATTGTTATTATTATTTACTATTATTATTATTCATTATTATTCATTATTATTATTATTATTATTATTATTATTATTATTATTAATAATACTTATCGAATTTATGTTAAGAAGTTAATCAATAATAATCGTGTACTCTGTAGCTCATTTCAAAATGCATCCCTAGAAAGCCGTGATTTATTCAACCGTGAAATTGTAGTGTTTAGTCCTTTCATCTGATTCATTTTTAAAAGTATGTTTCACAAATAGATAAGGTTGTACGAAATACTCTTCGAGATGTGGGTCGTTAATTAATTATAAGTAACATCAAGATGACAAAAAAAAAAAAAAAAAACAGAAGAATATCGCACAAGAACACCATATAATCTTATTATTAACACTCACATTGCTTTCACTTTTGCAATCATTCGTTTTAATTCACTATTGTATCATATCTCGCTGAAATCCAAAATACGAGTGAAAAATGATTATTGAACTTCGAAATATGTTAGTACAAGTTATACTTTAGTGCCATTGTCTGATAATAAGCTCAATTACAATGAAAAACATACCTCTGATTACTTGATCGTATATGTAATGTGCATATACTCGTATATCAAGCAAATGTAATGAATTATAACTTTATATTTAAATCAAGTACTAGGCTACGTATAAAGTTAAATGAAACGATATTTAGAATATTAAAACTGAAAGTACTTTAAGAAACGTATATATTTCATTAAATAATCAGGGTGTACCTACTTCTAGTGAAATTATCGATTACTGATATCGATATTGAAGGTATACTAACTTATTTATTTCGATGTATTTAAGAAAAATATATATCTTGAAATATATATAATTTATTGTTAAAAATACTATTTCACTGAACAACTAGACGTATTAAAAAGATTCGCGTTTGTTTTATCCCAATATAGAATTATCGAAAGAATTAAAACTTAAAACTTAATTACGTTAACTATCTTTTGAAACATAAATTCTCAAATATTTGACAAATGGCGACAAAGTAACTTGTTTATGTAATGAATTAGTAAAAACAATATATATATATAT